TCGATAGAAACACCTAAATCTCTCTCTCCGTTTGCCTCATCCAATTTAACATCGCCGAACGTGTCGAGAGACCTACCGTTGTTTCGACCGACGTGGAGAACTTTACACTTACTTTTATTAAACCTCATGAGCCATTTCTTGCTCCACTCGTCCAAAAGACTTAAATCTCGCTCGGCTCGAGCCCTATCCGCCTCCCCCCTTATGGTAAAACCTATCTTGGTGTCGTCGGCAAATGTACTTATCTTACCCTCTACGCCGAGATCCAAATCATGTATGTAGACCAAAAACAGAAGCGGTCCAAGGACCGAGCCTTGAGGGATTCATTCAGCAAGCGGATGTTGGCGAGTGTGCCGATTATCCTAAGCACCGCCTTTTTCTTGGTTTCTGCATGATTTGTGAAAGTCAGCATTGCCTGTAGGGTGAACAGAGGGTGACCACCAGGCATGCCTCTCCCAGCCGATGTGATCACCAAATGTATGAGGTACATCGGCTTGCGGTGACCCCTTCCCCTCCCCCTCCCATCTGTAATTTTATTACCTTAGGTTTTGTCTGGTTCACGGTCATTTTCTCTCGTCTGTCCAAACCTTGAGGGCAGCTATGGTCTTCTGACCTCCCCGCAGGCAGCCTGTCTGTGTTCGTGTCAGTGTTTGTGCCTTCCATCTAAGATTCCAGGTACGGCGTGTGAAAACTGAAAAACCATTCCCGTTTACTTCTAAATATACTTTATTGTATTTCAGAGCAGACATACGAATGATATGCACACTTCTCACTGAAATTTTTACGGCACGTCAGGCCACCACCAGTCCTATACAATCAAAACGGGAGAGACACGAGGAAATTTCGAGTCAAGCATGGAACAATAAATCGAAGAAAGAGATGAGAAACGTTTTTCCAGACCTTGTGCGAATGCCTGTTGAGTGAAGTCCCTGACGGCATTCCTTACCGAAGTGATCGGACTCTGATGGAAACCTGCATGCAGGATAGAAAATGAGAAAGTCGTAAGAAAACAAGAAGGAAAGAGGGAAAAGCCGTGCTGGGACCACAGACCTTTTCCAACGATGTTGGTCCAACCGTTACAGTAGACTTTGGTGTCGAAATGCAACTTCCAACGATGGAACACTGGCTTCCAATTGAGCCCGCAGCGGTGACCGAGAATTTCCAGTCTTCCTCTCCCCGTCAATCTGCATCGACCGACTCCAAGTGACCGACGTCTAATAGAATCTCGATCGTCCGAACAAGAAAGTCTCACTTACATCAGCAACACGTTCTCGACTATATCGTTGATGAGTTGGTCATACCAGGCGGCAGTCGCAGAGCCGATCAGCAAAACGGCAACTGCGAAATGCAACAACTTCATCCCGTCTGGTTCGATTTCTCCTGTGGTAACGTGCTGAAGTTTGCCATTTTTCCTTCTTGGGGCCCCGTTTTATACGAGCGGGTCTAAACCCACGTAAGCACAGATACTGAGACCTCACATAATGTAAAATCCCTGAATCCACACGCGATTCAACAGGTATGTTTATTTCCCCTCCCAGCGGGATATTGTCCCCATAAAGCTGTCTCGCCTCATCCCAACCAATTTACTGCCCGATTACCGCTTTGCAGGGTGTCGGGAAAAAAAAGGCATGAGCTATCTCCATTTTCCCGACCTCAGAAAGCTATTCGGTGGAGAAAGCTATTCCTGCTCGGAAATAAAGATACTGAAACTGGGACACACCACTCAAAACAACTGAAATTGAAGCGGATCTTCTCAAATTCGAGTGGCACAAGAGAACCCGGACTTAATTTCTGAGGTATCTCGCGGTAAATACGGAAAACTTATTTAAAAACGAATGGGTAATGGACTGTTAAGTTACTTCGTTGTAAAGGGAATTCCGGTGCAAGCTCGTTGTAAGCTTATATAGACTCAAATTTTTGAAATTCAGTTGGAGATACAAAGTAGCTTCGCTCTAAGAATCTCGCTGCCTCTGGCTTAGTTTGAACGAAGTTTGAAGGTTCAAGCATATGACGCATGCGAAAAAAAGCATTGGGCAACCGAGGATTTAGCCTTCTCATAGGGACGAGATTTGCTCCAATGCACCGTTTCCCTTATTTTCGCGAATCGGATAAATCGCCTTTCGCATCTTCTGACGTCTTGGGCGACATTGGAAAGACATCGCCTTTTTAAAGTAATATGTCCATGTCAGTTCTATCCAATCAGTGGGCGAGATCAAGAGTTACAGGTGAAATAATGGGTTATGAAATGAATGAGCTGCAGCCCTGCCATCTGGTATTTACTCGAACAAACAAGGTTTTCACGAGTGAAGAGCGATAACGAATCGCCTTTGTTGCGAATCATTCCTCGTGATCTCTAGAATTTCTCTAGGAAAATCTTGGAGTTTCGTGGAAATAATAAAAATGAAAAATAACGCTCTCCTCTCCGTGGAGGTGATTTTTCCCTGATGGTTTTTCTCAAAAATTAGAAGAAGAAAAATTACCCGTCGGAAAATAAGTAAATTTGTCACTTCCAAATTTTAGAGTTGGGAAAAATGCCAACTTTTAAGGATCTTTTCAGGTTTTTCGAGTATTTATTTCTGTGCTGAGGAAGGATAAGGGGTAAGCTTGTGTGGGCGTGTGCATGAATAAAATACATAATTTTAAATCCAATATTTTCACATTTGTTTGTCCAGGCTTTGCATCTAATATCGTACCCAGAGCACTCTGTGTCGGTCCAGATTTCTCTGTGACCAAGCACCGGAAGATCGAAGCTGGCTCTGGAAAAGCAAAAATGTCATCTGTGCAATGAGGTTCCATCGCGATGCAAGCAGTGCCATAACAAGAGGCGTGCGAGCGGCGCCGATTGGCTGCCGGATTATTGCAAAATATAAATGAAACTTGAAAAAAAATTGCAAATTATCCTGAATTCAACTAAATTAAACATAGAAATTAATACGTTGGACTGATATTTCGCTCAGGGCGCCAAGTATCCTCGGTACGGCGCTGGATGCAAGTAATCTCGAAAAATCTTCCAGCCTTATCTGAAGTCGTTGCATCGCAGTGTTTCGAGCACAGCCAGAAGCCCGAAAGCTTTCTATACGAAAGCGTAAGGATTGTATGAGATGACCACTCCAAATACAATCGAGAGGAAGAGAATTTAAGAATCGCCTGCGACTATATAAAGCGCGGAAAACCCCAGAGTTTTTCATAATTTCACATGTCAAGCGTAACCGCAGAAAACAATTACAGAACCTAAAATATATGTATATAATAAAATAAATGCGAGATGTAATAAATTAAATACGGAATATAATGAAAGAAATACGAACCAGAGATTACCAGTCCAGGTACAGACCTGCCATTCAAATGGCCCCTATACCATTGGAATTATCCTCTTCGTCGCATCCTAACCATAGAACTTTGAAATAAATAATAAATAAATAACTTTCATTGGTACTGAATAGACCTATATAAAAAGTCCCAGGCAACTAGATGTGTTTTCGATGGTCCGCGCGACGCGTGGAGATGGGACAGTATAGAGCAGCGGTACTCAAACTTTTTATGAGCTGGGTGCTGCTTACGGATGTGACCAAGCTTGCGAGGGCCGCACTTAAAAATATTAGTAAATTCTTACTGGTATTTTTTTTGCAAAAAATAAATTCAGTCAGCCCAAATATCACTCTTGCAATGGAATTTATTGGCAAAACAAAGACTTGCATGCGGCTCGCGGGCCGCAGTTTGAGTACCTCTGGTATAGAGTGTAGGATGTCAGATGCGGTACTTCACGTGTACCCCTAGCATCCTTGTCTACGTGGCCGCGAGCAGCCAGCTCTCTTCCATTATCTACTATGGATCCGTCATCCGCGAGGGCTGGGAGGGAAGTGGATGTTTTAGTGGAAGACGGGCGCCTGAACCAGACAGAAAGCTGCACATGCGCAGTGAGTCGTGTTATCCGGTCGCTATGGTTACTGCGGACAGACGGAATGAAGAAAAGGATTCGATCGCAATATCTACTATTTCCCCATAGTACCTATTGGAACGGCAGATAATAATAATAAATACGAAATACAAATTATTTTTCTCTTGGATGGAAGTGTGGGAGTGGTCCTCTCGAGTGCAAAGACTTTTCGGGGCACCCTTAAAAAGGGCAAGATTGACCGCGTCGCTGTGGTGGATAGTGGTGACTCAGATAGGGACTCGGGCTAGCGCGCGGGAGGTCCAGGTTCGAATCCGACCAGGCGGCATGCAGCATTTTCCTGGGCCGACAGCTCAGCTGACTGCTTTCGGGTACTACCTGCTTTCCCTTGGGCTGAAGCATAGGCCACTCTGTGCTTCATTGGGTGAGAGGTAGGGATTTTGTGCGCCTCAATAGCACCCGACACATCGGCCCTGGAGGCACGATGTGCAGCAATGGAAGGCTTCAGGCCTGAGCGGCATCGAAGTTGCCGTCGCCTTCTCCGGGCCCGTGAAAACGGATACATAGTGATAGAGAGCGTGGAAAGATGTGTGGCAATGCCGTCAGGGATGTCCTATCTGGACCCCCTTTCCTCTTCACCATGTGTTGGCCGCTTGTGCCAATTGTCTTTGTGTGTGTCCGTCCCAATTCATGTCTATTTTTTTTTTTAAGGGCAAGATTGACAATCTGAAGATGCCACGAGATGTTCCAGGTGCGAAATTTCAATGTGCTTCAATGCATTTTTAATGTGCTTCGAATGACGGCAAGGGCGGGAATCCAGGGGTGTACTTCAGACGGGTTCATGCATTGAAAAATGATTTATTTCTTCGAGATTCTGGTACCGCATTTTCATCACTTCAGGAGCTCAGCCATCACTCACTCGCAAACGAAAAGTAAAATAAAATCACGGAAGTTCCTGGGAAAAAGTGGGCAAAACCCAGTGCAAAAGCGAAGAGCATGAATCTTCTGTTGGTGGCGGACACTTCTGTCGGAATCTTCTGTTTAAATGAAAAAGTGACTGAAATAAACTCCCACTTTTCTATAACTATTCTGCTTATTTTCACTTTGCTGCTTTTGTTGCTGAGCCTTCAGAAATTTTCCATTTAGGTAACAAACTTTGTCCATGCTGCAATAACAAGGTCATTTGAAACGAAATAGTCCTGTTTTCATCAACCTTTATTTCGTTGCATTTCGAGCAAGGGAAAATGAAGTATTTTCACCTAGTTGCTTTCAAGGAATTGTTTGGCCTCCTCTTCTGTCACCAGTTCTAGGTCATTGACGGAGCAAAAATCGGGTTAAACATGGCATGGAAATCAACTCTGATTTTATTTAATGATCAGAACGATATTTCTTCCTGACCTTTTTGAATGGCCTTCTTAACGAAATCCTCGATGGCTCCATTCATAGCTCCGGTCCTGCTCTTGGTCTTAGCTGATCACAAGAGAAGGACATGGTGTTAGCGGAGAAATTGCTCAAGTGAATAGAGAGTAGAGTGACATGTGAGACGACATACAATTTCCGACGATGTTGGACCAGCCGGGACAGTACACCTTCCCCTTGTAATACAGTTTAAATTTGGAGATCTGGGGTTTCACGCTGTACTCGCAGCTGTGGCCGAGGAAATCCACCGTCCCTTCCTTCCACAGCCTGTGTTCATTCACCTGTCACTATTGGGTCGCACGTACGAGCAAATCACCCGATATTCCAAGTCCGACTCACCCAGACAACTTGCTGACGAACGGTCCGATGAGGTCCTGCCACTGGGCGGTGGCAGCACCGACGACCATGAGGGCAACGACGAAATAGAACAACTTCATCCTGGCTGCGGAATCCGACTGGGGCTTGAACGAAGGGTTGGATGCGTGCCCTCTTCCACCGCCGGGGACCCTTTTATACAGATTGGGTGGTCGAATGCCACGTAGTCGGGGATGCATGCAATCACGTGGCTGAATATCTCCCCACGCGCCATGCGAATTGCATCTGTAGCAATTTAATAACCTTTTAAGTTGCCATCGCTCGCATTAGCGAGAACCCGGAAAGGTGAAAGAGTGTGCCCGTTCCCTTCATGACGCTGGACGACAGATTTCTACCTCATCTCGGACTCATTCGTATCAGGAAAAAGATCACTTCGCGATGAAAGCCGCATCTGGTTGAGAAGAAAGAGAAAAACGAAGAAAAGACGTCGGCTACCATTATTGGCGACAGCTTTAAACAGAGTTTCGGCCGAATTGAACATAAAAATAAGCCTAGAACCTTGCAAAGGAGTCTGTAAAAGTCAGCAGAGTCCTCTTATCTGCTGTTCGACATCTTTCTTAGCATATTTCGAGCTGTCGGGAGATGACCTCCGTCTCCTATCCTGATTATTCTTGTACGCGGTGTCCAAAACTCTGGACTCATAGGGCTATCTCAAGGCGAAAGTTTACGCTTCAATAATTCGAGTAGACACTATTTATGAGACTTCATATTTGCATATAAGTAACAAGTTTGGTTAACAAATAAGTTAATTTGTGTAATTTGTGACACAACTGGTGTCACTCGAATCTTTTAAACGTAAACTTTCACCTTGAGATTGGCCTATGAGTCTAGAGATTTGGGACACCCTGTATAATCCAGCTCAAAAATGCTTCAATTTATGAAATATTGAGTTCAGTCGTATGAAGAAAATAAATCTGCTCCAGGGAAGAGATTGGAATGGGCACTTGACTGCAGACAGTCTGAGAGAACAGAATGCTCTGATTTTTTTTTCTCAAAGGGGACACTCGAAAAAAACTGATGCCCTTCGAGTGCAGTATATGCAGAGAGGAAAGAGTCCGTGGTTGACACGGAGACCACAGTCGATGTCGCAATCCTTCTGGCAAGGACGCCCCTTGGCGGTTCTTTAAGGGTGGTTCATGAAATTTCTCGGTCTGTGCTTGGACAAGTGACTTCAGAGGTGTTTTGTATCCGTATCTCCTAGATTCGGCCCACGGAGCTGCGTGTGTGTTGTCCCAACCCGAAACAGGTACTCCTGGCAGGTGGGCCACCAGTCGGCTGAAAAGAACCTGCCCCCACCCGAACCCAATCCCTTGTCTCCGGGGATTCACTCGGAAATCCCCGCCACTCGGCCCGCCGAATCCTACGAATACGCGATTCCTTGGCACTCGAGTCCGCCTCCTTCCTCCCTCCTCCTCTGTCGTCCTAGCCTCAAGCCTGTTCGTGAAGGAATCCTTCTTTGGACTCTTGACGGATGGCCTCGGCCTTTCGTAGACTCTTCGTGTGCCTCGTCGGTGTCAGTGGAAGCATAGAGTGCGCAATCCCTGTAACGGGCTATCAGAGTCGGATGCACCTCCTTCGGTGTCAGTGTTCGTAGGTGGCAGGCCTGTGCATCGCAACGGTGCAATGTCTCGAGACCAGATCCCATTCAGACCAGCGTACATGGTGATTTGCGAAAAACGTTCATCGAATCTCACGTGTCTGGTGGCATGATCTCCAAGCGCATTAATGTTCCGTGATGTTCCATAATGTTTCGTGTCTGCAGTGATGATATACCTGTACAGGGCAAAGCAAACACCAACGACTTTTAACATGAATATCTCCGCTCGTACTGGAGCTATTTCTGCAAAACTTTTACTATGCATGTATGAGTATGTTTCCAACTGAACCTCAAAGATTCATCCGAATTAGTTACACCAAGGCAATACAATCAGCAATTATTTAAAAGAAGTTAGGTATTGCGAATGAGGGAAACATTTCCTGCTCATCAAAAATCACGTCAAACTTCCATTTAAGTTTATTCTTTGGACTGGTCCTCTCTTGCAAATGGTTTTCATGAGCTTATTGGCAATAAACGGCAGATGAACTGATTTTCTGAAAATTCAATCAGAATTTCTCTTCTTGCCAATTTTGATTCGAATATGGAATGTCTTCATTTCCTTAATTCCGGTTAGTTTTCCCTAATTCCTTTTATTATTTATTTATTTATTCAATGTGATTTGTCTTCTTTGTCGTGCCCTTTAGCCCTCGTTTGTCAGTCTCCCCTATGAACCTTGAGAAAATTATCTCGAATGAGACTCGTGTATTCATCTGCCATTCTTTGGCAATAAGTTCACGAAAACCATCTGCGAGGGATGACCAGCCAAAATAATAAATTTTAATGGATTTTAAAGTAATTGCTGATAGTATTCTTTTGAGGCAAAATTTTCGGATTACATTTTTGATTCGGTTGGAAACATACCCATATATGCATGGTACACGATGAGAGACGTTCAGGTTAACATTCCTTGCTCCTTTTTTGCCGCACATTGTACAGGGTTCCCCGAATTGAACACTGACACCGAAGGAGGTGCATCCGACTCTGATAGCCCGTTACAGGGATTGCGCACTCTATGCTTCCACTGACACCGACGAGGCACACGAAGAGTC